GGGAGCGTCCTAAGGGTCGATTTCGTGTCATGCCTCTTTCACCGCCACCACCGAAGATGAAAACAACGATCAGCTAAAGACCGCGTGTTCTCATCGGGGGGGGGCGGGGGGGGGGGGGGGGTGGGGAGGGGGATTTGTGAAAGTGTTTTCAAGGCACTGGGAGATAAAGAAAAGGCAGAGTGTGGAATCAGCAGTGTATTCTTACCCTGAGTTTTGTTTCCCCAGAGATCATTATGTTATTCCTAGAAATTTCCCAAAGCCCTAAAGCTTTTCAAAAGCCCCTGTATTAGCATGGAATCTCTGGGAAAAAGGCCACATCCAGGCTGGGATGGTGAGTGAGTCTTAGCATCTATGTTGCAGTGAGATTCAGGACCCCAGCACAAAGCCACGTGTGTTGTGCACAGCACAGGTCCTGTGTTACGTTCCTCAAGTAGATCAGTGGTCATGGCACCACCTCAGTATGTGCAGTGACACATGTCAGGATTGACAGGGTCCAGACAGAAGGTTCGATGTGTTCCAAAGTGTGCAGCATTGCTCAACCTTTCATACTTCTTAACACACATGGAGCATGTGTATGTGCACAGCACAGTGGGCGAATGGGCAAAGCTGTTCACAGTTAGATGTCCCAGGCTAAGGGGTTCCAGCTGCCCAGGTTTGGCTCCCTAGATTTCCTCTAACCCAATTTTTTCATATTAGGTGCCACAAAAGACATTAGTGAATTCTGGTTTGCAGTTGCAGACTCATTACCACTCAGAAAAGCACTTCCAGAATTCGCTAAGACTCTTGACCCTGTATCTCCTTGGCTAATTCATGACTTTGGGCCTATCTGAAGTAGTCATTTCAGAGCCCTGAGAGTATTTAGAGAGAAATACAATTAAGAAAATGTGGAGTGTGAAAGGCCATGTCTATCCTTACACAGTTATGGAGTGTTTTAAATATGATTAAGTAAGATGGAGTGTGTGAAAGCATTTTATAAACCACAGTGTAAATTTTTATGTTTAATACTACTACTAGTGCATGACTGATTAGGCAGATAGTCCTCACTTACTGATTATAATGCTGCAAATCCCCAAATGTCCAATCCAAACCATCCACTAAAGTAATGAGTAAAATACATGCAAATAGAAGGGCAAACATTCTATTTTTTTTCTCCTCTAACACAAGAAAACATTGGGCTGTTTTTAGAAGTGTATGATTCACAAAGAAGAAGAATAATGGTGCCTAAAATTAGGAACATCTAGTTCAAACCACCTAGAGTAATGAAAATATGGTGAGTTTAATGCCTTAAAACATCTCACAATAGCAGTTTGGAAGAAATAACTAAGTGACTAAATATTTAATATTACCAGGAAATGTTAAACAAAGGTGGGTTACTCTAATGTAACTTTATCTTTAGTTTGTTTTTTACATAAGTTAAAATATGATTAATTGGAACCATAAATAATGATGGTAATAAGAATGATTATAGAGGTCACTGCCATCTTTTTCTGAGGTGTTCAATGTATCCTGTATGTGGTACTACCTTGGAGACAAAGCCTAAAGCAGAGATGTTCAGGGTAGCTCCCCTGATCGACTCCCATTCATTCATTCATTCATTCATTCATTCATTCAACAAATACCGTATTTCACCAACTCTAAGAGTTGTCAGTTGTAAGACATGCAATTATTTTATATACCACAAGGAAAAGTTGATGTCAATTAAAGTATGACATGCCATTGATTGCAACACACAGCTCCAACTTCAAAGACTTTTAAGTAAAAACACATGCATCTTAGAACCGAATAAAAACAATACTTTTTAAGTGTAGTATACCTTAGGGAGAAGGCTTGCAGATTCAGACAACTGGGTTAAAATCCTGGTTTGACCTCCAGTGACCTTGAGTGCTCCCTAAGTCTGACTTTTCTCACCTGTAAATTAGGGCCGGAGAAGTAGCTTCCTCAAGAAAAAGTTGTTAATTAAATTAAAACGAGTCAAAATCTAAGCTGGGTCATTGCTTTTATTAAAAGTCTCACTCCAGTATTATTGTGTGATGAAAGTTCAGCAACAGGAAGACCAGCTATGGGCTGCTCTAGACTAGATAGGGAACTAGTATAGAGTAGTTGGAGCAACAATGGGGGCTTGAATGAGTGAACAGGATGTAGATGAGATACAGATTGGAAATGACAGATCGACTGCATGGGGATGAGGAGAGAGAAAGAGAAGTCAAGGGTAAGTTCTAGGTTTTTGGTTTGAGCCCAGTTCGATGGTGCCATCTATGTAGATAAAGAAACCGGGAAGAATTACATGTTCTGTTTTGAATTTACTCCTTTTGAAAGGTCACCAGGGAAGCTTGTTTAGAATACTCATTCCATGGCCCTCCCCATGGAGATCCTAATTCTATAGGGGGTCTCCTCCAGCGAGTCAGATGTGCTGCGTGAAGTTTTGAGAAGAGTCTAAATCTTGGAAAACATGGTACCTTCATCTTTTACAAGTTCATTGGTGCATTATTTTGTGTGAATGTGTGTGTGTGTAAAAAAATGCAGTTGTACTGGTTTGAATTCAACTATATGTGTAGTAAGGGTACCCATAACTGAAAAAAGTAGTAATCCATAGAAATAACATAAATGAGAATACGTTTGAAGATGATGGGTTTTTTTTGTCATGTTATTCTTCCTCCTTCTTTAGGGCCTTTGTACCCATGGTTACTAAGAGCTTCCTCTCTCCCTCTCCCAATCTGCACAGTTAACTCCTCCCCATCTTTGTAGCTCAGTGCAAATCTCACCTCATCTGGACACCTTCCTGGTCTCTCAGACAGGCTCCTTGTGCTGCTTGTGTTCATAACACCCCACGCATAGCACATTGTGTGTGTGGGATCTAATTTTATTATTAACTTTCTTCCCTGCTAGATTGAAAACATCTTGGGAGCAGGAAACATTTTTATTTTGGTCAGCATTTTATCCACAGCATGGAAAACAGTGCCTGGGCATATTAGGTCCTCAATAAATAATGGGGAATAAATAAATACATGTGGGTGTTTTTTTATCCAGTTCCATGTATAATTAATTTTCTCCTCATTGGTGGCAGTTTTCGCTGCACTAATTTTTAGGAGGGTCTTTGGGGACCCTAGGGCCAAATGGACCAGAAAGAAGATAAAATGATTCAGAAATATAAGAAAATATAATTGGACTAAAAAAAGTCCTTACATAGACCTAAATGTCAGCAACAACATAAATCTACTGAATTCCCCTCTTGACCCTCTGTGGCGTCCTGATGTTCCAACAGAGTTTTACAGTCCTGACGCGAGAGTAGTGCTAGAGGGAGAACTGTCTCCAGCCCGTGTTGGGTATGTACCAGAAACCATCAGCCACGGGGAAGCTGGAGCTTAGTATGACCCACTCCCATTCCTCAAGGAATTATTGAAGTAATCATGCCTGGGGCTTCCATGGCAAATGTTCTTTTCTTGTGGCTAATCTGGGTTATTCATCAAATGACTAAAGGTGACTACATGGGCCTAAGTCCAGCTGAGTTTCCTGACTAGTTTTCCAAATGATTCAAATCTACTGATGCAATTCCTAGCATAGAATTGCCTCAGATGTCCATTAAGCCCTTGCCAATGATATAGCCTGTCTATTTCAGGGCACTGTACGTTTAACCCAAGGTACAGGTAATGCATATTCTCAAGCATAGCCCAACCATATCACATTTCTTTCCTCCAAGTCATAATGTCACTCTCTGAATGACTAATGTAAATCAAGGGGTATGGAATAGCCTTGTGCAACTGAATATTTTTTTTCCCAGTTGGTTCTTAGATATCTTGCTTCTTAGGTTATTACTGCAAAGGTAGGCTGTACTGGGGGAAAAGAAATGACAGAGAAGAGAGGAGATAATGGGAAATGTATAGAAAATGCTACCAAGGAAATGTAGTGAGCTAGGTTGGTGAGTTATTTAGTCAGGAAGACTTTCTCATTGATAGTTCAGGGGCATGCCTTCACACCGCTGTTTGTTAGGAAATAGGCTATACTGCTACTCACATTCCAATTTGATCCTCAGTGTTCTGGGAGCTCAGCTTATCCTATGCTATGGATGCCATTTGACTGATTATTCTTTCATATTTTTGAAAACAAGGAATGATGAGACATTAATATAGAAGCTCCTAGTGTGCCAGTATTTAGAAGAGTGATTCTATATGTGGCTGGACAAAAAGACATGCATTAATGCAAAAGTGATCCAGGACCAGGGTATCTGAAGTTTTTGTAAAACAACAGTGTTGAGGTGCATGTGAGAAGTGGCAGCAACCTCGTTGTAATGAATTTACTGCCCTTGTGCTGCCTTGAGGGAGGCCGATCACTTCTGACTAGTGAATTACACTGTGGAATCCTGACTTCCTTGCTCAGGACTAGGGCTGGGCAAGTGGTTTGCCTGGCCCTCTTGTGTATGTGCTGTGGTAATGTCAGCTCCATCAAATGCTTAGGAGATGAAAGAAAAAAATGTTTCAGACTTGAGGTGGGGAGCAGCAACTTGTACTCAGGACACAAAGAAGAAAGTACTGGCGAGAAGGATAGAGCACCTTAACATTCCGGAGCCCTGACACACGGGAGTGTTCCCTGAATTAGCTGTTATTAGATCAAATGTCCTGACTACCTTGAGCCAAATGGGCATGGGAAAACAGTGTTGATTTGATTTTCTTGACTCATTGCAACTATGAGCTCTCTGGTGGACAGCAAGGGTTGGTATCACTAATTACTATAAATAAAATACAAACTTGTTTGGTTTTATCTAAGCTGGTGTAATTGTCAGAGGTAGAAACATATGCCAAGAGGAGTCTGTCAGCAAAAAGAGTTTGGGGCAAAAATCTTGTGCAGTTAGATCATTACAGGTTTGATTCCCAAAGGATTGGATTCAGTCTGTATGGAACTCCCTGGGGGATTCAGAAGGCTGCCCTAGTTGTTGTTTAGTTAGTTAAAAATTAAAGCCTGTAGGACACAATTCTTACCAATTATATTTGAGATATGGAAGCAGCCTATGAGACAAATCCAAGGTGAAGTTTTGCAGCAGGAGTTCTTAACATTGGGGCTCAATAGTGAGTTTTAAAAGCTTACAAACCACCGGAACCTATGTAGAACATTTTGTGTATTTATACTTGAGTGTCTCTGTTTTTTCTTGATTCTGAAGGAACAGCCTTACATCCAAGGTGTCAGGACCATAGCCTTTCAATCTGTATGTCATGTCACAAACAAAGGGCTTTTCCAACCAAGTCCAGTGTGAACAGAGATATCTCCTACATAGCTCCACAAACCCAACACCTCATAAAGGTTTTGTCTTGGTTTGAATTGTATAATTTTATTAGTTATGGAAATAGATACAAACCATGGGAGCATGCAGGTAGAGACCCAGAGGATTTCAGATCTTGGGAAGCCTTCTGAGATCAACTTGTCCAACATTAATTTCGTTGATGAGGAAACTGAGGCTTGGAGGTGCAGCAGCCTGCTGCAGGTCCCCTAGCAACCCAAGGCTGGGTTTGGATGGAAAAGCATCTCTTGGCTGCCTGCTTCATATTTTCTGTATTCTACCCATCCCTGATCATCAGGAAAATAGGAAGACATCGGTATGCAATGAGAGTAATGCTACCTCTAGTATTCGAATCTGATTGTGTTTTGCTGAGAGCCTGTCTAGGAATGGTGCTCCCTGTGACCAGTGAACAGGGAGCCAAGACCTCAGTTCTTCTCTCTGAGATCCTACTTGTAGCATCATAGAAGACATTTGATGCACGTCTATGCAGATCTCTCGCACTTACTCACTGAGAAGTTTTAATTGTCTGGATGTCCTTTATATTTTCTCATTTTATTTTCATTTTTTCTTGCCTGTTAAATTGTAATATGAACACTTACGGAAAAAGAAATTTTGTATTTGACAGACAGCATCTGTTGCCACAGATCTTAGCTCCTTTTCGAGTAACCAAACACAAATGAGAATTATGGGCACTGGCGAAAGTGACGTGGTGTGGGGTAGAATCATTTATTTTATTTTCATTTGTCTTTCTCCGGCATCCTTCCACAAGAAGAGGACCCCTCCTCCACACGTGCACTCTGCAGTCTGGGCTCCTCTTCCTGGCATCTGTCTTACTCTTACAGTTAGTCAAGTGCAGGAGGTATAGTTTGATGGTTCTTCCTTCTGACCTTCCATCAACTCTAGAAGTGAACCTTCAGAGGAAATTAAAGCTGAAGAGGGTGGTTGGGCACAGGCACTTGGGGAGGGGACCAGGGCTCACCTATCTTCCAACCCCGCACTCTGTCCGCTCCAACCCCACACTTTGCCCTCTTCCTTTTACATCCTCAAGCTCTTCACAGAGAGGCTGGAAATGAAGCCAAGTCTAGGGCACGAGAGAGGAGAGTGATGAGGACTCAATGAACCTGGAATTCAGCCAAAAATACACAAATATGTCCAATGAAATCTGCATGCACACTTCTGGATCCTTGATTGTAATGGTCAGGATGATGAGAAATCATTGTAAACTATATCTAGAGACTCCTCTTTTCATCACTATTTCTTGTTATTTTAAAGATGAATCTTAGGAATAACAGGTGTCATCTGTTTTGAAGAGTTAAATAATTACAGTAAATACTACACACACACATGCATGCACACACACACACACACACACACTTGTACTGAAAATTCTGAGATTTTTGCCTACTCTCAACATCTTTTACTTTTCTAGACTTTAGGATATGTGACAGTTTATTCTCTCTTGTTTTACTTGTGTCATATAGAGGGCAGCTTGGGGCTAACATTATTTCCTGTTCCAGAAAAAGCCACTGTCTTTTATTAAGCAATGCTTCTTTCCAAGTGCTGCAGTGTTCATCCCTCAAGTTTTCCTTAAGGAGTCACTTCAAATATCTGCAGAAATGGCAGTTAGGATCACGCATTTTATCTTCTTATGAACTATTCTGGAAACACAGACAATGCATTGGCTGTGGATCTTGCCCACATTCACACTTTCAATTTTCATTTATCGAAAATGCTGCTTCCCCAATTTTTCCTTGCAGAAATCTTATAAAACATAAAATCACTTAATTATTGAATTCTAAAGCTAGATGGAACATCAGCAATCTTCCATCATAACATCTTATATAAAAGATAAGGAAAGGGAAATTCAACTAGTGATAAAATCTGGACTACAGCCTAATTCTACTGATTAGCATTTCAGTTCTGTATCCAAAATATCACAGTGCTACTCAGAAATGCCACGGTTCAAGATTCACTGGAAGCAAGGTAAGTGCTACAGAAACTCCAGGAAGTTCTAATAAAACAAATACACTGAGAGAGGAATAATTCATTTTCAAATAATGTTAACAATCCCTAAAATATTGAAATAAACTCATACACTCTCACATCATGCCAAGAGAAGGGATCCAAGTTATTTGGAGGCTTTCATGGGAGTAAAAATCAACATTCAAAAAACGAAAGTCAACCCAGGTCACCTTCATAAAGGATAACGCACCAAAATGCCTCAGACATGAATTGTAAGAATGGATCTTAACATGAGCTCAGGAATTAGGGAGCCTTTTCTATAAACAGTGTGTGTTTCTAACAACGTAATAGGTATGTGACAGCGAAGGTATAGCGTTATGGAAAACAGAAAAATCTGAATGAGAAGGCAGAGACTCAGAGAGCTCAGCTATTCACAAGTCATGGGGATATTAATTTGCATTTATTGCCTTGGAGGCGGATAAAGTTGGACGCTCATGGAAATAGTGCCTGAATTGAGAACAGAGAGAGGAAAGAATTGATACTTTAGAATGGCTTGTTTGAGCAGTTATGGGATGACAAAGGAGATATACTATGCACTCAAGTCCCAATGAATAAGTTCTGAAACAAATTAGCTCTGGGATTTGGTTTAAAAATTTTTTTAAATGCTGAAAAGAGGTAATACTTCATTACTGCATCAGATACCACTAATCTCAATTATTTTTTACTGCTTCTGTGACGAAGGGTAAACGACTGATGTGTGCATATGTATTTGGCAAATAGTAGCACAACGGCCTGCAGTTTTCCACATCCATCCTTTAGCATATATTCTTCTCTTTAGTGAGAAGTACCTCAAATTTTTACCATTGTGGAAATAGAAAGTCCTTACAAATGTGTCGTGAACCCATATTGCATGTTTTAATTAAACAAGTCCATCCATTAGATTCCTATAATTGGTTAGTGCTCCTGTCTTTTGTTTCAAACTCACAGTTCAGAAGGTATAAGATAAAGATGGAGTCGGTCCAGTGAAATGTGCTGAACCTCAATTAAGTTTTAGTGTTAATTCATTTGCTAACTTATTTCCAGCTTGAACAATAGTTGTCATTCATCATCACTGTCATCATCACCATCCACAGCAACAAAAATGAACATTTGTGGATTGTCAGTCATGAATATGCTTAGTACATCCCACTGGTCAGAAAGCAGTCCTTGGATGAGTATTCTCAACGCTTCAAGTTAGACATCTGGATCTACTGTGTACAAGCCTTGATGGGGCAATATTTAACAACAGGAGCAGAAGAGCCACTGCACATTTGCATGGCTGGAAAGGAGTAGATATTCCACCGAAAGAAGAGAGATGTGATTCTACAGAAGTGTTTGGCTAGAGTGGCTAGGGACTGTCCATCCCTCACAATCCTCCTTGCATTCATGAGATGCTCATGTCAGGGGACATCCTAATATTAGGAGTAGTGGAGGAATCCTAAAGTATGGCAGTGACTTATCTCTGAATCACAAGGGGTCCAGTATACTTGGAATCCAGGCCAACCTGCAGCAATTGTCCTCCATCAGTGCCTGCACCAAGAAAAAAAAAAAAAAAATCACTACAGGCTCTATTCAGGGCGATTTTCTGTGCTCATTCTGATGAACATTCTCTTACCAAGCTTCCATTTCCAGAAAAGGTAGGTCCGTGACTTGCCCCTATAAGCTCCTTTCAAAGCCACGTCCTCCTAGATGGAACTCTAAATCTGACTGAAGACCTGGAAGGCAGAATACCCTTTCCTGTGGTGTCCACATGTTCCCTCTGAAGACTGCAACTCAGCAGACTGAGGTTCACACAGTACACTCAGCAGAAGATGAGAGTAAGCTCCTGCTGAGGCAGGCTAGGAAGGGCTCCTATCTGGTGAACCCATCAATCACAGTCAAGCTGGTTCAACAAAGAACGTGCTCTTGCATAACCAGGGCTCTAAAGATCCACAAGGCAAGAAAACTATTGAGTTGGCAAATAGGTAAAATTAAGTCCTCATCAGTGCCCCTTACAAAGTTGGTTCTGACTCAACTCTCTCTCCTGGGAGGGTGATGATAGCTATTTGAAGCATGATTAGCAGTAGCAGATATTACTAATGTCTACTGGTGGTCATTTAGTAGATATTGGTATTCACTAGTACATAGTATATGTGAAAGATCAAGCTCCCATTCAGACAAAGGCTGTGGGCACTGTGTTCTGCTGTCTCAGCCAAGCCTCAGAACTGCCTCTTTGCAGGTGCCTTGGCACATGGTATTCAGAGGTGTTTCTGGGCTCCAGTTTAGGAATATGGAGCTCACCTATCTTTTCCCCACTCTATTCCAGTAAGCCACGCTTTGCACCCAAACCCTCAGGCCAGTGTCTACTGAGGTGCTAGGCATGGGAGGGTTAGTCAATCCCACCCACCCACTTTCATTCTAAGGAGACTCAGAGCCCTTTCTCTTTCATGGTTCCTGGGCATAGGGAGGGAGAAACACCAGTGCAGTCAAGATTCCTGAGGCTTGGACAGGTAGTTCCAGACCTTGCTGCCAGGAAAAACTTGGGGCATCTGGGATGTGGCTGGGGCTAGGGGTGAAAGGGTAGAAGGACACAAAGAAAGGTGAAGTCAATAGCTTTCTTCAGTCTTGCCAGAAGCAACTGGAAATGACACAGCTCCATCCCAGTCCTTCCTGGTTCCTCTCAGGTGAAGCTGACCTGGAAACACAAGTGCCGTCATTCCTGTGTGTTTTGGCTCGGACCCATTTCTGAGTCTCAGTTCCTCTTATGTGGCTAGAGGTGAGGTTTGGAGGTCGGGTTTGAAGGACTGGTTGATGGCAGATTATTTAAAACTAAACATGATGTTTCAAGCTGGCTTTCTGTTTTGTTTTTTGTGGGGAGATTTTTTTTTTGGCTTATGGGAGTTTTCTTGTTTACTTTCTGTGACAGTGACTTTCTGCTGCCTCCCAGAAATAATAGGGCCTAAATTCGTCTCCCTGACTACACTTGGCCTTTGCCCACGTTGTGTGGTGAGATGTTTGAGCACAAGCAGGACACTGGCAGCCCTGGCCAGGACCTCCTGAAGGCACTGAAAATGCAGTCCCTATCAGACGCACCTTCACCTTGCCTCAGTGTGAGGATGGAGGAGGTCCCATGTCCTTCCTGTTTGTCATCTCAGCACTTACCACCCCTCCATCCCCGGAGAGTTTAAGAGCCCATCCTCCCCCATCCTTCAAACCTGAGCCAGGCAGGCTGTGACCCCGCCCCGCTGTAGAATGAGGTACCACACCAGGCAGGCTGTGACCCCGCCCCGCTGTAGAATGAGGTACCACACCAGGCAGGCTGTGACCCCGCCCCGCTGTAGAATGAGGTACCACACCAGGCAGGCTGTGACCCCGCCCCACTGTAGAATGAGGTACCACACCAGGCAGGCTGTGACCCCACCCCGTTGTAGAATGAGGTACCACACCAGGCAGGCTGTGACCCCGCCCCGCTGTAGAATGAGGTACCACACCAGGTGAAGAGGGACATGGAACACTTTTTAATGTCAAGTCAGAGACAACCCCACCCTCCCGGATCCCCCAATCCCACTTTCCCTCATCACATCCAGGACCTCTCCCCGAGGACTCTCTGGTTCCCAGACTTTCAGGGGAGGGAAAAAAAAGATTACCTAAAAATTGCATTTTTTTTTCTCTTTCATACACACTCACACAAAGGTGGGAAATTAAATAAACCAAGAGGATTAAACTCTCCAGTGGTCACGAAGGCATCAGAGATTCCCATAATGGGCTAAAGCAAGTGGGTACTGACGGTTCTGCTTGTTCAGTTGCTTGCTGTCGGTTAATGCCACAGAGCAGGATGGAGAAAGCGGGGCCACCGGGGGTGGCCGACGCACAGAGCCACACCTGGAAAGATGCTGCGCCTGGTATTAGTCAGATTTTTTTTTATCTTTTCACTTTTTATAAATGTCTCTGACATGTAAATAACCCAAGAAAATAAAAAGGCAGGAGCTGATTACACAATTACCAGTAAACTCTATCATCTTTTAGAAGATCAACACACAGCTAACGCCATATACAGCATGCAGTAATGTCTGAGAAAGGACCCTGCGGAGAAATAAAATGGCTAGAACTCTAACAAAAAAAATATATGTATATATATACTGTATAATATATGTCATCAAAAGAAGCATAGCCAACAAACCCAAGATACAGTGCAGATCACCTTTCCATTTCTAAACAGTGTGTAGAGAGCATAGTATTGTCTGCATGAGATGCCACAGTCGGGAGGAATCTGTAGCGCTGGTGGAGATGTTGGTTAAATCGGATGTATTTTTTGGTGGATATGCCAAATCCTCACCAGGCGATTAGTGCCTGGTGTCTGGTCCACCAGTTGTAAACCTAGTTTAGAAGTATACTATTCATTTTTACTGTTTAACAAACATACTTCTCTTCACCCTTTTCAGTTGTATTTTTTTAGTTTTGTCTTGTTTTTGCACTAAGTTCTAGACTCATATCAGAAAATATAATTAATAAAATTAATAATGAATCAGAATCCCTTGTTATCCATGATGTCCATGTAGTAAAATGATAAAAAAAAAAAAAAAAAAAAGTTTAACGGTATCTTTTGTGACTGTTGTTTGTGGGATTGTTGTTGCTGTCGAACGGTCTTACTTTGTTTCCTTTTTCTTTCTTTCTCTGTCTTTTTATTTCACATTTCACAACACACACCGTGGTGGCACAGTCTACCAAAGTGCCCACAGCGCCATGCTTGGGCCGGAAGGTCTCACTCTGTTCGTCTCTATGGACGGATTGAATTTGGGATGGCCAGCTCCAGAATGTTCCACGTGGGGGCACTCTGTGGGCAAAGCGACTGAGCCCTTGCCCACACTGGCACCAGAGAGGTCACACGATGCAGCTTGCAGTGGGTCCAAGCCGGGTGTGCTGCGTTCTTCCCGTTTGGGAAAAGAAAGAAAACTCCGTTGTACCTAAATATCTGCAAGGCAATTTTCCATTTCTTTCTGAAAACTTTTTCCCCCCAAAGTATTCTTTGTTCCCCTCCCTCAAATTTCTGTCCCATGAGGCTGTGTTTCTTCTAATTTCATTTGTAAATATCTGATTGGTTGCTGTCGGTGTTGCCAGTGCTGTTGTGTTGGTGGTGGTGGTGGCGGCAGCCTTTCCCGGGTGGGGAAGTGGCACTCACATCAAAATTTGAGGAGCAGGTGCAAGACCAGAAGAGGCAGCAGCCAGACGCAGCCTGCCCTCCTCGACGTGCCGTTGCTCACCTCGCTGACAGCACCCGGGCCTGTGGAGAGAACATACTCGCCATGAGTGGGCTGGGAGAAAATGGAAGGAAAGCCCGGTGGTTGCCTGGTCTGCTGTCATTCAGCCTTGCCCCTAGTGAGGTGTCCCTCTAAGTGAAACACGTGGTGTTCCAGCCCCAGCTTGAGAAGTGAACGTTCTATGGCTCACATCCCCCAGACACACACACTATATAACAGGAAGCCTTCCCCTGCAAGGAGAACATGAGGCTCAGGTTAAAGCATCCTGGGCCTTCTTCCTTACTGTGTCATAACATGCAAAGGCCATGGCTCAGGCTCAAATTCAAGAAGAAGGTGGCAGATTCATTAATATCCTACACAGAGCTTTAACAAAGTCAGACTACTGTACTGAGTGCCTCATCACCCATCCACTTCTGAGCCCCGCCTGCCTGAAACACTCACCTACCCTCCAGCTGCTTGGCCTGTGGCTCAGAAAAGAACCTGTTGGACAAAACAATCTGTCTGCCTGCTGCTTCTGCTGCCTTGGGCACAGAGGCCATCCTGCCAATCACTCTGCCCCGGGCAGGGCACCAGGGTTCCACCTGGAGCACCTGACCTCTTCCCCATCTGGATGGGGTAAGAGCAGATGCAGCTCAAGGATCACATGCCTGCACGGCCAAAGCCAGCCCACATGGATGGAGGTGAGTCAAAGAAAGGAACAGGAAGCCTTCCTGTGCATGTGGATGTAACTGGAGATTAATGAGGACACTGGGATGCAGAACTTGCCCCAGTGTATGTCCTTTGGTGGGGTGGTAGGGGGCACCTTTCCCTAGGAGGCATACACTGACATGGCCTACAAACAGATGCTCTTTGAGATGGAGACACAAACACAGGAGGCAGGAGAACTGCAAGGCAGTACAGTTCCCCAGCAGCTTCCCTATTGTTCTGAAACATATGTTTTCTGGCTACCTCGGCCCTTGTGGCCAAGAAACCCCATGACCAGTGGCGCTCTGATTTCTGTAGAGTACATACGGTTGGATGCCCAGATGAATTAGGTACCCGAGGAACCAGGCCACCTTCTCAGACTGGACCTGCTCTGGCACACTCCGTTGCACTGAATTTAATAGAGGTGTTTAAAGCTGGTGGCCTCACTAAGTCCACGTCCTCCTGGGTTAGGGAATAAGGAACAAAGCCAGAACCTGCCCGCCTGACTTGGATGCTCAGCGTTGGAGACATTTCTGGCTAAAGCAAATCAAAATCAAAACAGGCTTCTCGACTCCATTTGGGATTATTCCATCAAGTCTAGAACTCTTGGCTTGAAGCCAGTGACCTTACGATTTTAAATCTTGGCCTTTTGGGATAAATCCCTAATTTGGGGCCAGTGGCTAAATAGGTAGCCGCGAGATTGAAATGCAACAGGTCATCAACCTCACGTTTCCCTGGTGTCTGATTCGCAGCATCCGTAATGCCAGAACTTCTCAGCGGTGCAGATCCCCATGCTGAGAAGCCCGGGGAATACTTATTCTCTCTACCCTGCAGAAAGCAGAAAACACAAAACCAAAGACATCCCTGCTAGGATACAGGTGACCAAGGAGCATTCCTGGAAAGCTCCCGCGGTTTACATTTCAACAAGCAGAAATGTTTGTCATTTAGGATCGGTCACTAACTGGTTGTCTTCTAGAATCTAATCACCAGACACTCCACTCCCTCTTTGTAGACACTCACTCTGTCATCTACACAGCACATTCTTTGGAATCAAAGGAGAGAAGCCTCCGCCAGATGCCTTCAAGGGTGAGAGATTATGTTTCTCTGCTCTGCGGAAGTCCTTCCCCTCTGGGCAACTCCAATATTCTTCCCACCAAGGCCCTTGTCTGTGCTTGAGGCCGAGGACTCTGAGATGACAAGGGTGGTTCTGAGTCCACGTGGCCCAGCAGGCCTTTGTGGAAGCCGGGTTGCATGCTTTGCCTCAACGGAGTCAGCAGTCACATTCTATCTTCATACGCATGAATCACACAGTACAATTCCATACGTGTCCTGCACACTGGAGTCCTTAACTCCCGGCAGGACACATAGCTGTCAGCACACTGCTCTGCCGCTTTCATCCCTTGTGCTCTCCTGAACGCCTATGTACATCTCTGAAACCCATTTCCCGTTCAATTCCCACACACTCCCACCTCCCGTCTCCCGCTCCCTCACCATGACTAAGAAGATGCCCTGGGTAAAAGAGATGGAAAACAAGTGTCCCTTCCCTGCACTGAGGTTCTCTTCTCTCTTCTGCATTCCCTCCTTGCAGTGAAGCCTCCAGGGAGGATAATGCCACAGCCCACAGCAGGGGCCTGGCGTGGTTACCATGTAAGGGAATGTTGAAACCTTGTTTCCAGGCTGGGGACTCTGCAGCTCGGAGACGACTGACAGCGGGCAAACACCCCCTGTGGCACATCTCAATGGCCCTGCGGCTATGCCAGGCGCTCTCCCTGGGTGCCTGTTTGGTCTCCTTGCTACGCCCCTCAGAGTTCTTTCGTGGATCTACTTCACGCTGGGAAGCACTACACAGAGCTTGTAAGGACGAGTCCTCACCTGTTGTGTTAGAAACTTCTTCCTATGGAAGACAGAAAAAGGCCACCAAGTGCCTGCCAGCCATTCTCTTGCTTGTAGTATATCTGGGAAAAGCCTGAGCGGCCCCTCTGAAGCTCTCCATCTCCATCTCAGGCTGGTGAGTGGCTGGCACTGACTATGTGACCATATCCAGTCTGCACAGCCCACCCCACAGGCACAGGCACTCGCCACCCCCGGAACCTGTCTGTCTCATCCAGGACACCAGACCTGGACCAAGCTGGACAGGAGAAGAAGGAAACAGGGGTAGCCCCGAGGCAGGGGCATTCCACACATCCTCTCCAAGGGGACAGTCTGCACCATCTCATCTTTCAATTCCCAAAAATATTCACCAGTTGAGCCTTGCCACCTGTGGTCTTGACCCCTGGAATTTATTCCTTATGCTAATTCCAGGGTGACGTTTCTACCCCAAATTGATCATGATCCTCATTTATTTGAGGCCAACAGGTTAGCACCAAGCCCAGCTTCTAAGTGGAAGGAGCACTACATCTCGTGACGTGCCTGCAGTCTGCATCCTTGGCGTCTCTTCTTGCCACACCTAGTTCGGTGCCCTTGCCCCTGTGTGCACACAGGGGCGTGTCTTTTTTCCCACCCTCACACACTCTCCCCTCTGTCCGAAATATGCCTCACCCATTTCACTCTTATTCTTCACTCCAGCTCCTCTTCCAGCCTTCAGACGCCTCTTCCAGGCAGCCTTCCCTGCCTGGCTCAGTGCCATGCACATCCCGCTAGTGCAATACTTACCACCCTGTGTCATAATTCTCTTTGCCTAACTTATTTGTATTTCCTCCTTTGTCCTCTGTGCAGTAAGTTCCTTAAGAGCAGAGTCTGTATCTCATTGGCCCATGGCAGGGATTCAACCAGTGTTTGTTGAAAGAAGGAGGGGGCGTTGCCACTCATGCTGACATATCCACATTTATTTGTCGTTGTATTTTACTTTTGCTTAAAATTATATTTGAAGAAAGCAAAACAAAAACGTTTTTCGTACCTTGCCCTCCGCTTTTTCTCAATTTCCTCTTCCAAATACCTTTACTCTCCTTTTCTAACTATATCCAATACAAGTAACTGAGAATTGCTGTGGCTGAGTGTCTATCTACATAGAAGCAAAGTCATGTCAATTAGGATTTCAGAGTGCTTGCATTTGGAAAGCTATCACAACACCTTAATGACACTCATGTAGGAGATGAGAATTATTATCTCCCTTTCTAACATGTGGAAACTGAACTTCAGGGAGCTTAAGTGACTTTCCCAAGTCCCCTGACTTCTGTCTTCAAATGCAACCATCTTCCCAGTATCTCAGAGACGCATCTTCAGAGAAGAAAGAGAAGAGAGTGTGGTTGCATGGCCTGCTCCACCTGGGTACAGGTTAAGGTGAGAAACGCAGGCGTGCCGCTGGGCTGCCTCCCGCAGGCCATCCCACACTGAATGAATGCTATGTGGAAGGATTCCATGAGATGAAGACCTTAGGTCCAGGCGGGCGTGGAACACAGCACCCTGGGATCAAGGCCCTCTCAAAGCCAGTGTGGGCCAGAGCGACAGCTCAGCCCATCTGCCTAGTGACATGGGCCATGCAGATGAGGCCTCCATTCTTCATTCAGCCACGCCTCCACTCCACAGTGAATGCCTTTATTGCCTCTATCTCATTAGAGAGCTGCGGAGGCCTAAAGAGACTAATTACCAGGACAGTTAGGGTCCCAGAGAACTGTGATGAGTGTCAATTATCCATCGGAAACATCTGGCAGGAATGAAAGCTTCAAATAAGATGCATTTTATTCGTAGCCAAGTGACTCACCCAAGAACCTCCCCCTTCCTCCCATCTTCCCCTCCCCGCCACCACTCCCCTTCCAGCTCCAAGTTAGAGACATAGAAAGAATGGTGCAAGCAAGGGCAGCATGCAGGGCCAAGGTCTAAGAAGATCGCTGCATTAGAGCATCCGTGTGTGAGGAAAGAGGCAGGTCTGGTGCAGAGAAGCCCAGAGATGGAGCTATTCTGGGCACTGACAGGTGCTCATTAGTGCCGCCAGCAAAGAGAAGTTAGGCTGCTGCAAGTGGGATCTACCCAGGAAGGATTGGATGTCCTTGGGGATAGGGTTAATCTAAATTGACACGGAGGTGGCTCAAGGTCAGCGGAGGGTTCCCTCTGCGCTGCTTCCTGGAGTTAGCTCAGGAAAGAAGGCATCTGGGAGGAAGGTGAAGAGTTTTACATACCCCACACCCACCAAGGCAGCAGCTGTCTGAAAAATATACAAACCTTTCCAAGGGGTCAGGGCTGTAGTTTTCACTTCTAAAAGAAATTAAAAACAAGCCACCGTTAAGGTCAAAAGCAGACGGAGGTGCTCACTTTGCCCTCAGATGATTTCAGGAAGAAGCTGGCGCTCCTGGAGCAGCAGTGTCCCTGGGCCTCTTGCGCGTGTCCCTTGCTGTCCTGACCACTGCCCAGCCCTCCTATATGACCCCCTCTGGTTTTCTGGTTTACTTGGGCAGCCAGTTGCCACAAAAGGTGTGCAGGCTGCTGGAGAAGGATGTGAATGACAGTCAGGTTGGACCACAGACAGAGGCAGAGCCAAGATGTCTGCCTGAGTTTAGCAGGCGACACAGCTGCACCTTTGGAGCCTGAGGCACCAAACCAAATCTCCTTTGTAGAACAACTTTCTTTCTTTGGTCATCAGGCTATCCTCTAATTAGTTGAAGCCTATAGGCCTTACGTATAAAGTTGATTGCTGCCTATGGATTTATACTACACCATTTGAATGTAGGTGCTCATGCTGTATTTGAAATGCAAAAGTTTGACTGGCATTTAGCTATGCATTTAGAAACACTAGTGAGTTAGCTTCCATGTTCCAGAGGAGCCCAAACCATTGATATCTGACCTCTCTTGCAGAGTTGGACAATACCAAGCTGGTTCCACAGGGCTTCATCTCTCTGGGGCACCCAGCAGCTATGACCCACACCCGTGCTGCTACAGTTGCACTTGCTAGGACCTCCCTGTAGAAATGCTGGGATCCTGGCCCCTCTCTGCTGCCTAGACTGTGAAAGATCTCCACTTCACCAGCTTCAGCTCTCAGAACAACCTACAGAGCCTCTCCACCTTTTCTGTGGGTAGTAGATGCCTTGTTTGGCCTGAATTTGGAATGATCTCTAATCTTTTACTTCCCTCTTTGTTGTTCAGCCTGGATACAGAGAGGATGGAAAATGACACTAAAGCTTTTTGCATCAAAGTGATACCTTGGGAGTCTATGTTCTCTGTGCAAAGGTCCTCGCATACAGAAAGACAACCTAGATATAACTTATCCTAAAAGCAACTAAAACATTTGCTCAAAGTCAGATGAATACATACCTGTGCATTCACGCCCTCAATCTATTCTTTAAAATCACCTGACACATGATATCCCTCTTGATTTAAGTGGGCATTAGCGACCCTGAGAAGCCACCCTGAAGGTACAAAGAGGGAAAGGGTTCATCTACGATCAAAAGTTTTGTGATTGAGAAAATATCTGATGTACAACAGGATGGTAGGGAAAAGCCAGGGGTGACGATGCCATGTTGCCTATGCATTTAACAAGGACGGTCCCTTGAAGGGCTTGCTGGGCCCCAGAAACAAGTTCAGAAGCTAAGGATGGGGCAGGGCCATTTTCATTAATTGTCTTAGGTACCAGTGATTTTTGAGCCTCTCTGTGCCAAGAAAAAAGATAACTGGAAGGAGGAAGGATGGACTGAAGACAGACTTCAGGAGATAAAATAGTCATAAAACTTTTACCCCCAAACCACAAGCAGTTTGGGGGTGCTCATCCAGAGAGTGATGTGGGTGCTGGTTCAGACTGTGCTGGAGGAAGGACCCCGGAAGAGCTTTCACCTGGCAGTTGAGATTATCAGAAAGAAGAATGCATTGAAAGCACAAGTTCCTACTGGAAATACGAGAGGTTTTCTATAAACAAAGACCCCCCAAAAACTTCAGCTTAATTATTCCATCCAGATGTGTTTTTTTCTCTTCATCTGAATCTCCAACACACACTACTTGAAAGACGGCCAACTCTTTTTAGTGTCCACATAGGTAAAAAACAATTTGACGCTCATCTTAGACTTTAGCTAGAACTCACCCTTGGGCTTTTCCAGGTAGCAACTGTTCAACCCTTCTGATCAACTAGAGCATCCTTTTGATACCACTTCTACCCCACCACAATGAGGTGGAAATGCCAGGATATTTTCGTATATACTCTACACCCATCATGCTCATTCCAGTCCACCCCCCTTGCTTTGGTACTAAGAAGACATGCTGGCACTGTCCTCTGTGCCATGCTTGACATGCTTCTGTCCAGCGTGTGTTGTGTCCCGCTTCCAGAAACAGGAGCCTTGCTTGAGCCATCAAAGCTAATGCTGGCCATAAGCTCAAGTCTTTGAGTAACATCTTGACTATCAGGAACATAAACAATCCCTGAAAATTCAAGCGTGTCAAGCATGCATTTTCCACACAAAGGCTTTAACTGAAACTTAACTGATCTCTTTGTTAATGGTATATTAACAGTAGGTCAGGGAGGGTAGGAAAATATGTTGAAAAGAAAGAAGAATGATGGAAGGAAGGAAGAAAGAAAGGAAGGGAGGGAGGGAGGAAGAAAGGGAGGGAGACAGGAAGGAAGAAAGGGAGAGAGGAAAGGGGAAGGGGGAAAGAGGAAAAAAAAAAAAAGAAGAAAACAACAGTGAATAGAACCCTCCCACCCCAACTCTAAGTCAATATTCAATATTTGCTCAATCCAGAAAGTTATATTTTTTCCAGCAAAGCTAATTTGGTTGAATCCGAGTGTCCAGTTAAGCAAAGGGCTGTTGTCTGGCTCCAATGGGCAGGGGAGGGCTGGTTTCATGTGAAGATGGATATACAAACCTTCTAGCAAGAGGGCGAGGGACTTTTGTTTCTTTTGTACTTTCTGTTATCTAGACACACACATACCATAGAAATGCTTAACTACTGGATGACTTGACCTAATTAACTGCCTTTAATCCTCTGCAGGGAAGAACTAATAATCTCTTCTGCTGCAATAGTTTCTTTCTGATATACAGAGTTTACTTTAGTCCCCTATTCTTTAATAAATTGCTTTGATGGTCACTGTGAGGTTTACAGACATTAATCAGCCAACCTTTCCCAGCCCACTGATACCATCAAATCTGACTTAATGCCTAGAAGATAAAAGACAAAGGGCCAGTGGGTGGAAAATGAACAGCCACGGAGCCGCTGAGTTTGCACTGTGGCCTGAGTGCACTTTCCGGTGCAGAAGTTCAGTGAGGAATGGTGGAACATCCTTGAGTCCTTATTTATCACTGTGAGAGTCCTGCACCACCAAATATTAATAGGAGAGGTGACATGCAATCTGTTTTGTTTGCAAAAGGGAAGCAGAAAAATACTTCAATGGTGGCAGAAAATGCTGAGGAAGAATGAAATTCTCTTCTCAAAATATTTCTAGTCCATCCAGATATTGGTTAGCAAAATAGCTTTGAACTTCTCTTAAAGCCAAGTGTACTCTGTCAGTGGAAATCAACGCGTTCATATAAATCTTTCCTGGTATTTCCGAGGTAAGGTGAGTATAACTTGGAGGGTATTTCCCGAGAAAATACATAGCTCTCTATTGTATCGAAGACTAGCAAACGAGGCGGGGGAATGAATACATGAGTGCGGTAAATGAGCCCAGGTGCAAGGGCTATCTTCTTTAAATTATTTCTCACTGTACAAGAGTCCAGCAGCTCTACTGAAGACTGTACTAATCCAACTGTCAGAACGTTTTAGATGTCCACAGTCTTCTTCGCTGACCCATTCTCCTACACCCAAGAAGGTTGCTGAGATGAGGGGTCGAGCACATCCAAAGAATCAGAGTAGCAAGTTGGCAAAGAAAGCCTTCCACTCAGAGTCATCAGTTCACAGGAGAGAAGGGAGCAGCCCAGCTTTGTCTCAGCAGATGGGGCCAAAAATAATGTCTCTTGCTCCTTGTCCCCTGCTCAGTGACCAGGCAAAGTAATCTGTTTGCTTTCGTTTGTGTTTCTGGTTGGTTTTCCTGCGGTTGACTTTGATATGGGATGATGTTCTCTCTGTGAGTTGAGTACACCTTCCGTTAAATACTCTCTTTTAAAAGTCCCTACCTGAGTTTCAAAAGCTCCAATTTCCTCTGCGAATGAAGATCTCAGTTGTCAGAACTAGCTCAGTCCTTCCAAAAGCATAGCCATAGCAATGCATGCCCATGCTCCAGGCTCTCTCACTTCCCTGGTACTGTATGTTACCCACTTTTCTACTGCTCTCTATTTTATGTCTGTGAATACGCTCACATGGAGGTTCAATAAACACAAGTTGAATCATAGGTTGAATCTGAGTAAGTCTATTGACACTTTTCCTTTCTATTTCTTTGTTTCATTTTCTTGCTCGTGGCTCATCGCTGTGGTGCTGTACATCACTAAGGTGAGTAATGCAGCCCTCTCTCTTTCCATGATAAAGGTACTTTTTTTCCATCTGTCAAGCGCTTCCCATGTAATGCATTTCTTTTCATCTACCCCTCCACCTCCGAAGTCTACAGCCATCCTCTGATGACAGTTTGCAAGGCCAGAATGTGAGGAGATGAACAGGGTGGTGTGGGGTGAGGTGGGGAGAGGAGGTCAGGGGATTGGGGTGGAAGGTGGGAGAAGCATTCCCCGCCCTGGCTTCACAGCTGCCTTCCTGAAAGGCTACTGCTGTGGTCAGCACTGTCCTTAGGGTGAGAGCAGTGCACGTGACACACATTTTATTCCACTGCTTGCTTGGATGCTTAGTCATAGTCTTAATGAGTCACTCACTCTAGGTTAGTGAGAAAATTGGAAGGGATGTGCAAAGACAGGCAAGAGATGCAGGAGATACTTGCAGGGGAGGGCTGTAAGTGGAAGAGGATGTAAAGGGACTGTGGAGAAGGGGCTGAGAAATGAGTGAAGGACACCCTGTGACGTTCCACTGAGGGGCGTCCTTGTCTTTCAGTTTACGTCTGGAGATTCAACATGCACCTCAGAGTTTTCAAAGCCTTTGTAATATGCATTCTCCATTGACTGTTGGAACAACTCTGTAAGGTGGATAAGGCAGATCAACTGTATTGTAGAGAAGAGGAAACTGAGTCTAAATAAGGCTGAGTGAGTTGCCCAAGACCAAAGAACTACTAAATGCCAGGCCCTAAACTAGAAATCGCTGTGTATTGGCAACCACTCATGCGGCGCCATGCCTATCTTCCTCCTTTGGAGAACCTCGTGAGCCAGTTGATGCATTTGACAGAATATCTGAATCCTCGTGTGCTTGGTGGAGGGACCATCAATAAGACCCTTTTCACAAAAACTGCTCAGTTGGTTGAACTAGTCTTCCTACGGGTCCCAGACTCACTCTCTACGCTTTGCCTTTGTGCTGATCTCTGGGCTTGGAGAATTTAACAATACTTTTCTTTCTTTCCCCCTCCCAGCCCTCCTGGGGGAGTGTGAGCAAGGGATGAGCAGAGCGAAGAGAGCTTGAGGTCTCCCTGGTTCCCAATCACCTCCTTCACTAGCTTTCCACATCCTCTAAGACACTTTACAGACACAGGTAATACACAGCAGGGGATGGGGAGTGGGGAAGGGGGGCTCTGGGATAGAGGGAAGGGGAGACAAAACATAAAGCAAGGAAGATACTGACCTTGCAACAAAGTTGAGCTCGTAGGCTCATTTAGTTCTAAATCGGTTGAGGGACACACAGGAGAGAAAAATGAGAACAAACACATATATTATATACAGTGCTATATATTTGTCATATATAGTTTGTATACTGCCTTTCACAGACATTTCTGGGGGAATATATAAAAACAAGGAAGACAGAAACCAAAGGCGGTAGGACAAGGTGCGGCAAGAGAAACGCTGACATGCTTTATGTTTCCATATTGAATGCCATGGCTGGGAAGGCAGGGAGCTGGTTACGCCACACATTTTCTGGTGCAGTTGGATTCACTCTTAGCTCACGCTGAGCCAGGCTACCGACTGGATAACAAAGGACTGCAGTTCCTTTCCAGATGACAGACTTGTTTCCCACTTCCCCACCTCTGTTGTTTTATCTTAGGACACCAAGTTCAGGAATTTTTGCCCTTGGCACCATGGCAGGATCAAGCTCCCCAGAGCACCGTGATTCAGGAGTGCGGGAGCAGAGCTCTCGGAGGTCCCTGCAGCCCTGTAACCTTAGAGACCAGGTGCTTGTGATGGGAAGGACTAACCTGCTCCTATCCGGCTTAAGTATCCCCAGACTGCCGGACTACGGTCTCTTGCACCAGAATTCCTCACTTCTCAATGTCTAGGCCACGTGGAGAGAGCGTGCAGTTTATGCACAAGTTGGTGGCAAAATGATGATAATTTTGCTGCCTTTCTGTAATGCCACAGGAGAATAAACTTCATCAAGAAGTTTGTGTATTCACAAAAAGTACATGCTGCTTTCCAACCTGCCCCAAGTGTGCTTGCTGGCTTTTAATGGAAACTGACATGGAAAATTCCCTAATAAATTCATATTTGTCAAAAGACCTCATTGACAGTGAGCCTCATTAATGAACCTAGGAGCCACAACAGCGTCTCCACTATTGGCTGCAAATACTCATCTCACACAGGAATGGGGGTTGCGAGCTCCACAGAACTATGTTACCCAGGCAGCATTTCCAGCGATGCGCTCCTCATGAATGATCTCCCAACTGAAGCTAACAAATTAAATTGGTTTCTGATTGAAATGTGCTGCAAACTTTTTCTCCCCTAGAGATTTAGCATGTTAAGGTTCCGAGACTTCTGGCATTAAAGGACATCCCCACATGTACCCCACTCATCTTGGTGTGACCCAGTCTTTCTAAACATATTTGAATATATACTATCACTTTTTCATGTCCTTTTTAGAAAACCCTGGACTCCAGAGAGCTGGCAATGGTAGAAACGTCCCAAAGGAGGCACAGGGCAGGTGCTGACAGACCCATAGGGCGGGGGGCACGGGAAGCAGACACTGTAATTGCTACACGTGTGCCTGCTGAAAAGAGCATATTTATGACCCACGCTTCACTGCTTTCCTTGTCGTAAATGCCATCTATTCAACTCTTAGGAGAACTGTTTGCTGCTTCTCCCTATTCTCATCCTGATGGCTTAAGGGGAAGAAGCTGGGGAAACAGACAATCGTGATAAAGCCAATGGCTGAACCATTTCACACAACCAAGTCAGGAGAGAGTAGGTCAAAGTGGAGGACCGGGGCAGAAGGCTACTCCTGTGAGGACAAGGACTGCTGTGGGTGGAGAGCAGGACTTGGGAGGGGTTAATGGGAGACTGAGGGGGAGCCTTAGATTTGCAAGGCAAGGGAAGGAGGGGTCTGTTCCTCCCTAATCCTGATCTCTGTTCATGCAGACAGATGCCTGCCAAAAAAGCAAAAAGGCCTGACAAATGCAAGGGACACTTATCATCCCTGTGTGAGAGATGCCAGACACATCAATCACCCAAATCACAGCTCTGCCCATTCCGAGCCACTGGCTCGGGGATCAAGGGCGGCTTTCTCCTTCCCAGCCCTCTCAGATAAAGCTGGCTTTACTATTTGCGCCGGGTAGAATGCGGGCGGATGTAATGGGCAAGCAGAGATCCTGTGGTGAAGCAGTGTGGACTCGTGATTCGGAGCAAGCCACATACGCTATCACCGAAAGCACGTGGCTGGGTTGTGGGATTATCCCAAAGTTCTCAGAATACAAGGAATTTGTGTTCTTGCAAATTATCTGTCAAATGCCTCCCCTTACTTCCCCATCACATTCAAGAGTGCTTGTTAACATGAGGGATTGGGGAAACAGATTTGAAAAATCTCAAGCTCAAAGAACTTGATGGGGTATGAAGGGATTTGCCCAAAAGCCAACCGGAATTTAATCCTGTGGCCTGTAGGGAGAATCTGCATTCATCATGAGAGGCCTGGAACCCTGCCTGGTGGCACCGTCAGGACGGCAGGCTCACGTCTGCACAGCTCTCTGCTCACAGGGGCAGGCATCAGAGTTTACAAGGGAGCTGGCTCACTTGCTTCTGATATCAATACAGTAGCCAGATACGTGATGAAGGCGGGGCCCTTCACATCCCAGCGACTGGAAACAGTTTTGGAAAAGGGAAAATTTTACATTAAGCCAGTGAGCAAAGACTGAAATAGCAAATGTTCCCCTCTGAGTTCTTGACTATTTTACCCAATTACGATTCCCAGAGTCAGTTTAGGAGCCATCACTGAGGAAAAAAAAATCAAATGTCATTTTTGGCATTCCAAAGTCTTTTTCTCCCGTCTCAGGATCTTTTCCATTATGGAATGAAACATAAACGTTCTTTTTCGTTTTTCTTTTCCCACTTCTGAGATCTACTTTTAAACATGTACTATACATATACTACTTTGCATACATGTCCACTGTCTGTCTCCGTCTCTCTTGTTCTTTCTCTTTCTGTCTCTGTCTCTCTCTGCCTCCTCTCTGTGTCTCTCTATCTCTGTCTCTCACTGTCTCTCTGTCTCCCTCTCTTTTCCTCTCTCTCCATTTCTTTCTGTGTCTCTCTCTTTTTTTTTCTCCCTCTCCGTGTCCACTGCTACCCTGCTAACCCCTGACCCTGGCCTTAAGGGGCCCTCCCACCCAGCTCTCGCTTTCTGCACCCTCTCCCCTCTTCTTGCCCAGCTCCGAGCACAGTCTCACCAAATAGCATGATGCTGGCATTGGTGTGGCCCAGCTTGTTGGAGGCCACGCAAGTGTAATTCCCATAGTCATGTTCAGAGACATTGAAGAAGATGAGTTTTGAGAGGAAAGGTCTGTTTTCCACTTTCACTCCTTTCTTTCCTTCAATCAGTCTGAGAGAAACGAGAGACAAAAAAAAAAAAAAAAAAAAAGAAGAAAACAAGATGGTTATGTGTCCTCAGAGGAAGAAGGTAGGCCCAGGGATTCGTGATCCTCTCCTTGCCCCGCTTCTGACATCATTATAACCACTATTTGATCCACTCGACCACACCATAAGGTGGCAGTAGTTCACACACAGTGGGTGACACGTGTTTCTTGATTTTCACACATGTGCCTGGGGCGCTCCTGCCAGAACATCTGATCTTCCCAGCCTCTCATCCTTGCTTTGTGGCCTGACAGCAACGCCACAGCAAACACCCCGCCAGCTGTGTGGCATTCAGAACAATACGATTCACACAGTAGCTGCTCAAAAGTGTGGACTTGATGATGATGATGGTGATAACGAAGATGGTGATGGCGATGATGACAACCATGCCAATGAAAAACTCAAACTTCTGAGAGAAGAGCCACCTGAGGAATTTGAAAGAGGAATGTTTTTCAAGTACCTGGTAATCGAATTTCTCCTGAAGCACCAGAGGCATTGTATAGATAATACTTAATTTTTTGGCTATGAAGAGGAGAAAAATCATCATTTTCTCATCAGGGGACTCTGAAGGGCTTGGGAGGAATGATCTGCCCAGACTATTACAGAGGATTAGTCTGGAGGGATTAGAGGTTCCTAAGAATATGTCCCTTTGGAGCCAGGACAGTCTCCCTGACCTCCACAATGGCAGCCCAGTAAGCCACGAGGATTGCATTGGTCTCGGGGCCACTAAAGAAATGCCACAGGGAGTTAGTTGGGGGAAGTGAGGTATGCTTATTAGACCCATGGATTCTATTACCGGGTAGATAAAAGGGTAAGGAGAAAGCTGCTGTTGGAGTCAGTAGGCATGTATCCTCCTTCTCAGGAGGTTGTTAACAGCAATTCCTATGGCACTCACGGACACCACCTACCCTCCTTTGCAAGATTCTGAAATGTTCATTTCTTAGAATGAACTTTAAGCCAACCTTTTACTTTCCCTGAAACAATTTGTAATCCTTGCCCTGAAGCTGATTCTATGCTATGGGAAAGATGAACACTCTTGAGGCAAAAATCCCTTCTTGATGAAGGATCTCAGGGAATATGGACACAAAGTTAAGTTTCCTGTTTAGGGCCGGGCTGGAGCACAACTTATAGCAAGCAGACAATGTCATAGTGGGAGCATACTGGAACAGATTCACGGGACATGCTTTGGGGCAAACGGATGCTACTGAAAAAAACAGTACTCAAGGCAGAAAGAGAAAGTAAAGCACTGAGACAATGATGAGGAAATGCTTTGCGGACCGCACAATGGTATCAGTATAATGTATTTCTATGGAGTTAGACATAGATGACTCTTGCCCATCCCTGGGTCACAGCACGTTTTGGCATAGAGGGCAGCTGCTTTTTCTGAAGACCTGTCTCTGTGGGATTACAGAATAATTTTCTCCACTCCTGCAACTTACAGTAACCTTGATCAGAAAAGAGAGGCAGGTTCTGGCTGGAGTTCTCACCCAACATCTGCCTCCAGGGAAGTCAGAAGATAGGTTGGACAGACTTGCCTTGCTTTTCATTATGTAGATGTTCCTCTGGGAGCCTTCCTCTCCAAAAGCTAGGGGCAATGAACTGGCCTGAGTCCACAACTTCATTAAAATGCTAGCACTGTCCAAATGGAATGAGGCATCCGGCTGCGCAGCCAGAGGCCACTTTTACATTTCCAGCTTGTTATGTACACATTGATCCTCTAGGGGGTGCTGTCCATGCCACTCACCAGGAGGATTCTGTGAGCAAGTCAGGCTGATTGATCCCACTGGCCATTTTGACACCATTCCTCCACCATGGGGAGGAAGCTTTCCCATCACAACCAAACTGTGAATGAGATTTCAGCTCTGCAGTTAACTGGAGAGACTTAACTGGAAGTAGGTTCCTGCTTGACAGCTCTGAAATGTCTTTAGCTAAAAACAGCACAGGGGGCCAGCAGCACTTTGCAGGCTTTGCAGCTCCTGGGAGGACACACTTTCCTTCTCTGTGCGGGTACACATCCCCTCCATCCTGCACTGCTCCCAGGCCTCAGTTTCTTACGAGAGCTGTGGGCTTTTCATTGGCCAATGCCCCTGTTGGATGGGTGGCCTTCCGTAGGTATAGCATTTCCTCTTCCTTTGTCGGATAACACACACAAAAGCAGGCAGTTGAGTCATTCTAGCATGTGGCCAAAAGACTTCTCACCTAACTCTTGAGAAAACTGCCTGTCCTCACTACACAGTTTCCTTTAATCTGCCTTGGAAGTCTGCTCATCTCACTGAAAATGGGAGATGGGCTAGAGCTGGCCTTCCCCCAGGGCAGACACAATATGCCTTGGGAGACCTGCCTGGCAGACCCAATGGGCTGTGATCAGGACCTCAGAGGCAGGGATGCTGCAGCTGAGCTGGGTGCCAGGAGGAAAGACAGCCCTGTCTCATGCCAGCACACTGGAAATAAATGCATACATGTGCAGCAAAGGGAAAACTGACTAAACTAAATGGAAAGGGGAGAAAAGGAAAGGCCATCAGAAGAACTGAAAGACAGAAACAAAGCTGCCTGAGCCAGGGGCCTCTGAAGACCATCCCTGGCCCTGCCAGCCCACTCTCTCCTCCTGGGTAAACGGTGGCAGGGAGAGCTGTCTCTATTGTGAGCACAGATGCTGCACAGAGGAGAGCGCTCTCATCCTTTTACTCGCCACCGGCCACTTTTGCTTTACTTTCCTCCAAGATTTTGCTTTCCCCTAAATATTTTTTTTTCTGTTTTTCTCCAATAAAGAATTGGAATAATAGGGCACTGCTGATGACTTTTCACTAAGACCTAGACAACTGAAGATTTGGAAACTGACCCCATAGCTCAATAGGTTTTTGGTTTGGTTTGGTTCAATAATTAATTTTTATGCCTCAGTTTACTTCTTAGTACAATAAGAAGGTCAAAGAGGGAATGGATAAGTGAAAGAGAATTTCTGAGTAAGGTTACCATATTTATCAGGAAAACACACTCCATTCTGCTTGATTCTTCTTTCTTGGAAGAAGGGGAAAGCTAGCTTATTTCTTGTTTTTCTTTGTGAGTTTGTTTTTCCTCTTTGTGTCTTAGTTCTTTCATCTGTAAAATGGGCTAGATGAATATAATACACCTCACTAGAAGCTGCCAGAATGTGTCCTTAAATTTTTTCTTTTTTTAAAAAAACGAAACAATGCTTTTCATTTGGGAGGATTATGATAAGACACAGTGAATCTTACAACTGACTGACATGGTTCTAACCAGAATTCAATTTTCGATCTAGAGACTAGAAAGCGCTTTTGGTGTCTGACCGACCTCATAAGGAAAGAAAGCCAAGGCCGGCCGAAGATGTGCACACGGTGTGGGCAGCCGTTCACTCGCTCCTGGCCTGCGGTTTCTCATGCTGCTCCCCTTCTCAGAATGCCCTCTTCATTGTTCTTCCTTCTCAGCTTCCCGGCCTCCCTCACTCCTTGCTCTTACTCCACCCCACATACACCTCAGGACTCTCTTGCATCCCTATACCACCACCTCTTTTTAAATGAAAATGTTCTGAACACAGGCAGCTCTTGCCCATTTTCCATTGTTCATCCGCCTTAAAATGGCTCTTTGATAACAGCAATTGCCATGGTGCCTGGCTGTACGGAGCTACTGATCCCTGCACTGATATGCCATTTGATAACACCTCAAAATGATCATCTTCAGTGACTCACAACAAATATCCCCACGACGGCCGTGACAATGGGAAGGAAGGGAATAGTCCCTTCTCTTTTCTCCTACAGTAAAAGAACAACTTGGGCACAAAGGGAGGGCTAAATTGGGTCATGGACTCTTATACAACGCTACTGATAGTGTCTGGAACAGGAGGGGAGACCTGCTAGCTGCAGCTAACTTATTAGCCACTCCCAGGGCCCCGTGAGCCTTCCTAACTCCTTCACGCAAGCCTGAGAATGTGGTAAAAATAGCTTCAGGCAGAACACATTATGTTCTTGGCCTATAAAAAATTCACAGGCCTTACAATGCTCCTGGTGGCCTTTCCTTTGCGATTTTGCTTTCCTAAAAACAGTTACCTTTCAGATCTGTTGGTTGGCCGGTGATAATTCTGCATGATGACATTAAAAACGTAGCTGAAATCCATTAATGTTAAGAAAAGACTTCTTTGCACATTTGCCCCCTATAGAGAGGAGAAGTTCAGAAGAGGATTTTATAGAGTTCGTTTGCAACCATCTGGAATCAGGACCCTGGAAAAGTTTCTTCTGGAGATGGGGGTGGGGGTGGGATAGGAAAGAAGGAAGCTTTACCTTTTGTCATCCTTGTACCACTGGAATTCTGCTGAGGGGACTGCTGAGGCTTCACACTGCAGTGTCCCCTTTTGTCCCACGGGGACACCCGTACCCTTGGCTTCTGAAATGAATGGTGGATCTGCAGAAAGAAGACGTCTCACAGCCTTTTGTTTCGTTTTGTTTTGTTTTTTGAGACGGAGTCTCGCACTTGTAGCCCAGGCTGGAATGCAAGTGGCATGATCTTGGCTCACTGCAGTTTCCGTCTCCCGGGTTCAAGCGATTCTCCTGCATCAGCTTCCCAAGTAGTTGGGATTACAGGTGCACGGCACCATGCCCGGCTAATTTTTGTATTTTTAGTAGAGACGGGGTTTCATGGTATTGGCCAGGCTGGTCTCCAACTCCTGACTTCAGGTGATCTGCTTGCCTCGGCCTCCAAAAGTGCTGGGATTACAGGGCACTGCACCTGACCTACAGCATTTTAAAATGCATTTTAAAATGAAGAAGGCTGCTTCCTTTGTTGATTTTGTTTCTCATTCTCTGTCCTGGCTCTGCTTACTTAGACAGTAAAATTGCTACACAAATTGTACCAGAGAATAAAAATATTTTTGATGCTGCTCTAAGAAAAAGCTAGGTCTTCCTTTCATGTGTTGCTTTTGTTCTCCTCTGTACAGAGTTGAAATGACCATGTACTCAAGCATTTTTTCTGTTTAAACTTTTTAACTTTCATAGGATGATGCCAGCCCATCAACCCTACACTCCAAGGGTTGACAGTCAGCTCCTTTAATCAGCCTTCTAGAATTTCTGCACACCAGGTTCTTGCCAAAAGTATATAACCTCGAACTATTCAATTCCCATCAAAAGCTCAGTTGCAAGAAATAATATTCAAGGAGAATTGCCTGAAGGATATACAGATGAGTCATTCTTGGTATTCTAAAACAGATCCCTGAATCAAGTCAGAGCAGGTGACCACACTAGGCCTATGTATGCACTTGGTCTGCATTCATCTGAAGTCTTTCCCAAACTACCCTTCACATTCTAACAGTTTATATTACAGGGCATTATGAAAAACAGCCACAATAAACTGGCTATTCTATTTAATGCAGAAATATTGTACATGATGTTGCTGACTCTCTCTCAAAGTGCTGTATTTGTGGAGATCCTGAAGAGAATTTTCTCTAGGGTCTCAATACCAGGGAAAGCAGTGTTTCTCCCAAGCAACTAATTTGCTTTTATCTTATGGACAACATGAATTTTAAAGCAGGTGATGTTTCTCTCTTTGCTTTAGCAAGGCTAAGCCAAATTCTGCACCTGCACCGAGCGATCTTGTGGTAATATTTCATGTGCTGAGGTTTTCCTAGCTTTCACTCACTTTCCTAAGCATATTTTTTCTTTGCTTCTGTTTCTTTATGTTTTAAGTTCATCTTTATAAACTGCAAATCCTCTTAAGTCCCTTTGTAAAAACTTGTGACATAATTTTTAAAATGACAGCATTTTTATACCTATTGCCTTGCTTCTTAAACTGCTTTCTATTGACTGTGTTCACATTGTAACAGAAACCTAAATCTTAAAGATTGGATATTCTCCTAGCTACAGTATCCTTCTTTTAACTCCACCCCACCCAAGTTTTGAAGGGAAAAGTCATCTCATTTCCCGATTTAGTCATTGAGTTCTATTTCTTCCTAAGTCTTCCTGGAATGTGCACAGCAGAGAAAACTTCCAGAATGTTGTAGGGAGCTAATCAAGGTACATAATGAGGAACCCAGAGGGAAAAGAGTGAAAGGAGGTAGGAAATTCAAGTAGGATTGATGTCAGAGAGAATCTGGAAGGCTGAGAAAGGAAATGAGGGGTCCACACAGGGCATTTCAAACTTCTTGGATTCTGTATCTCTGTTAGTAACAAGCAAATTTATTGTTACATCCTCTAAGACCTATATCATAGCTATTTGTATGTATACCATGCACATCTGTAAGTGTAAAATAATGAGATACAATAGACGAACCACAAATGGAAGTTCTAAACTTCCTTCATACACTCCAGCACATGGTTTCTTGTCCCATTATGGAGATGTCTGGTCTAGACAGTGAGAGGCGCCAGCACAACTGTATTGTGTGAGTAAATTATGGGAAAATTTTGGATTTGAAGACTTGTTTAAAAAATTATGAGTTGAATGCCATTTAATGATCTCCCAGCCATGCAAGTCAAGTTTGGCATTACATTCAGTTACTTTCAGCTACTTTTTCTTTTAATGTGACACCGTGACACCTTGAGGTGTCAAAAACTAGAATCAGAAATGGTTGCTCCTGAAAGCAGAATATGGAAGGTGGTGCTGCATTCTTCCCTCCCTAAGTCAGTAGCTGGGTGTGCCAATGGGCTCTGGGTGGTGGCTGTGACAACAGACCAGCCTCATGCACGTGCAGGGTGGGTGGTGGTGAGAACACTTACAGTTCACCGTGACCTTTACTCTCCGTACCACGGGCGCGGCCACGTCATTGGAGGCGCTGCACTCGTAGTCCCCTGACTGCTCCCGGGTGATGCCCTGAATTTCCAAGTATTCGTCTTCACTCACAAAGCCAACCGCTGTGGAAAAACCAGTAACGTTGGTGAAATACAAGGAAAAAAAGACCAAATATATTAACTTAGAAAACAAAGTATAAAATGGTTATGTCTGCAGATAATTCGCCACTTGTAAGTTCAGATTTTGAGGAATTTTGAGGATTATCCCTCCTCCATCTCTTCTACACCTCCGCACCACCAACTTTTCCTTGGCTCCCCAGTGGAACAGCTGAATTGTTTGTGTTCCTAAGTGAACTAAGCACAGTGCCTGGAGAATTACTGGTCCCGATAAGTGATTAATAATTTTGACATTTACACTGCCTGTATCTTACCAAGCAGTCGTGCTCTGGGATCTAAGTTAGGCACCTTAACTCTTTCTGATCTCAAGGTATCACTTAGACGGAGCCTTGAATATAAAGTTTATGACTACATCCTTGAGCATAAATTAATTAAAAATGCCACACCAGCAGCTACACACACACACACACACACACACACACACACACCACAAAGGCAGCAGAAACACTAACATAATACATTTAACTTTCTGTTTTTTGACTCAGACAATTAATTGGATAGGCAGAAATCAACGTGCTCAACTTTGATCTGCTAGAGCTCCTAGGTACAAGATCCTAAAGACAGATCAGCAATGGGACTCTGCGCTTGATGCCTAACTGTAAGCATGTCAGAAATTCATCAGGTGACACGGCTGCAAATCCACTCAGTCCCCTCATCATCGCAGGACTTATTGTCTTTAGTGAAAAATTATAAGTAATAATAACAACCCTTCACACACTAGACTCTGTGCCTGATGTCTGGCCATGAACACTCAGTTATTGAAAGACCAAGATATTTAAGGCGAGAGGAGATTTCAAAGTTCTCTCCCAGAGGCACCCGAGCCTTAGCTTCTTTGCCAAAAGACAATGAAAAACAAAAGTTAGAGCTTACATCCCAAGTTATCCTCCCTTTTCTCTTAAATGAGGGTAATTACAATGACAGCATCCTAAACCTGGATACCTTTAAAAGGAAAAGAGGTGCTAGTAATTAATGATTATTACCAGACAACAGGCATAAGTTAAGACTGTCCCTAGCAATTGAGAAGTATTTTCCCAAATGTAATATACATACAATCCTAATACCTCACAGGGTCACAGGGCTATTTAGACTAACACACGAACATGCCTATATATGTACACACTCACACACAGACACATATGAAAGCACTCTGAAACTCTCGTGTGCTGCCCACCTGTTGATTTAGCTATTAATCCTATAATCTGGCTGGAGGTACAGCTTCAAGGGGTGTAGAACTGTATTAACATGAGTGGCCCAAGAAAGGGAACAAAGGAACATTTCTCTCCAGGTCATAAAACCCTTCTGTAATGCCACATATTTCTGCTGGCCCAGAGCACGAAAACAGTAGCTGTAAAAAACCAATACAACAAGGGATGATGTGTGTGATATGTAAGGGATGATTGTATGTGTTCCATGACAGTGTGGAAGTCACTGTTTTGTCAAGATAACCACAATAACAGTAACAACAGCAACAACAGCAAGACCATGGTCTTGTGAAGAAGGGCCACTGCCTTGTTCCATTCGATCAGCACTCTTTGGCTGTGATAAGTCTGTGCCACTGCCCAGCAGTAGGCCCACCTGGGGCCGCACTTCATACATCTTCATGCCATATGCAAACTACACTATGTATGTACAGAAGGTTTCTTGCCTCTGATACATAGAGAAGAGGATAAGAACAGCCTATGTCCATTACAACAAACAAGAAAGAGATATTAAATTCACAAGACAAAGAAGGAACCTGTTCATAAGTAGAAAACATGGCCAAAAAGACCAGGATATGAAGACGACAAACATTATCCCAAATAGACTCATAGTTGTTACCAGTAAGACACTTCTAATTGTCTCAGTAGCCTTTATTAATATTGTTTGATAAGCATCTTTAGGGGAAAGGTACTAACCTAGATTTGAGGATGGGTAGAAGAATTGGGAAGAGCTTTAAATGAATAATCTGTAATTCCTCGTGTGTTGTCCTTGTTTATTTGCTACCAACCATGGGCTTACATTTGTCAGAGCTTTCCCTGCCAGAATGCTATAATTACTGTGCCAAGCATCTCAGAGACCAGTGTCACACTTAATATTCCCATTAATTTTAAATGGTAGTCCTTGGTACATATGTGTGGCAATTGGTGTCATATTTTAATTAGGCTTGCCCTACACCATCTGAAATTAATAATAGCTCGAATTACCAGTGTAATTTATAAATTAACAGTGCCGCAGCATTAGGAAATAAATTAGCTCTGGACAGCTGTTTCTGGATTGAGCTGCAGGGTCGGAGCAGGGACTTGTAGGACCTCAGGTCTCCTGGGAAGCTGTGTATTACATCACCAAAGCAGGGAAACAAACAAAAAGACACAAGTTCTCTGGATCTCTTGTGCTCTCCAGCTAAAGTTCATGCATCTGTTTCACTTCCATAATTCAAATGTGCTCTTTTGTGGTCACAGCTAGATTTGCAGGGGCCAACCTGTCATATGGACACCCAAATGGAAAGGCCTGCTTGGGGCATGACAGACCTGGACTGAAATGCAGGTACACAAATATTAAGGCAGTCAAAATCGAGAACTCATCAGTTTTCTGTGGGGACATGGGTGCCACATTAATTTATGTGTAGTTTTGTATATTTATGTCAGGTGATTTTGTGTAGGAAAGGACATTGGATGACTCAAGTTTTGGGGAAGGCATATGGTCTCTACTGATCCAAATTTCTAATTCCAGAGGAAGGAGATTTTTCCTCAAGTCATCCTGCAAGAACAGTGAGGCTTAATCCTACCTTCCTATGTTCCCTGGACCAAATGTGCAATCACAGAGAAACCACAATGACTTCATTGCTCAGCAGTTACTACATGTACCCTTTTTGATTAAGTTGGGTAAGGCATGTAAAAGGTGACTTGTACATAGTAATATGCTTAATAAATGTAAGCTTTCATTGTCATTATGCTCACTTCTCTCCTCACCCTTTTTCTCTACTAGAGGCATATATGGCAAAACCAGAGAGAAAGTTGGTCAGTTTATACATAACAAAATACATTTTGAACCACCCGAAATCAGGTTCTTAAAGGAGATGCCTCAAACAAACAAACCCCCAAAAACACTAAACTGAAATCTGAGTTTCTAGAGTTAATAAGTCAAGGAAAATTCTTGTTTAAAAGCATTTGTGCTGTGGCTATGAAGTGATCAGTGCTTTATCACTAGTGTGAGGAACTTACAAAGCATATTGGGTAAAAAGAAATCAAGCAAGCATAGTTTTTAAAGTACTAAAGGATATTCTTGGTTAAGAGACATCAGTGGGGAAGAGGCAAACCACTTGATAAAACCCTGTGAAAAGAAACTCTTCATGGTCAACAGCTTCTCATTATAAGTCTGCTTTTTCTTTCTGTAAAGAAAATGCATCCTCGGGTGGAAATCACACACTCCTCTTCCTGAAATATCCCCTTCATCATGGTCCACTTCTTCAGATACTAGAAATGGCTCCTTATTTTTCTGTCACATCAAACACAAACTCTACTGCCTTATTATCAAAGCCCTCCATAAAGTAGCCCTGATCTATTCACTCAAGTTTATCTTGCATGAGTGCTATGAAGAAGGCAACTGATCATCATCCTAAGAGGCAAAAGTTTGGGATCAGAAAAAGCCAATTCGCTACCTTCTAGTTTCATGATGGGGTAGGTCTCCTAACTCCCCTGTACCCCAGCATCTTCATCTGCACAATCAGAATAATGTTACCTACTTCTAGGGTTGCTGTGAAAGACAACATGTGGAGTGCAGTGGGGACCCTGAGAGGCCCAGGAGAAGCCCTCTGTAGAACTTAGTCTAAACAACTGGTATACCACACCACCACTGCCACTGCTGCAGCTCTCCTGCCAGGCCATGCTAGTTCTCATCCTGGACCAACATGATGATTTGTTCTTCACAGATTTTTTTTTTTTCTTGTCACCTAGAAAGCTGTGCCCTCTTGGTCTATCTAAGCAAATACCACCTTTCTTTCAAATGTTAACTCTTCCTTGCAAATACCCTATTATGGGTTCAATTACGTCCTCCCAAAAAAGATATGGTGAGGTCCTACCATCAGTACCTCAGAGTGTGACTATATTTGGAAATAGGTCTTTACGAAGGTAATTAAGTTAAAATGAGGTATTACCGTAGGCCCTAATCTAATATGACTGGTGTCCTTATAAAAAGGGATTCAGGCAGACACGCACAAAGAAGGGGTAGAGTGAAGACACACAGGGTGAAGATGACCATGTGATTGGAGTGATGCTTCTATGAGCCAAGGAATGCCAGGAATTGCCAGTGCATACCAGAAGCCAGGAGAGGTGAGGGAAGGTTCTCCCCTGTCACTGTCAGAAAGAGCATGGACCAACCAATCACTTGATTTTGACTTCTAGCCTCCAGCACTGCAGAGTTTTGTTGTTCTAAACCACCCAGTTTTTTGTGCCTTGTCACAGTAGCCATGGGACACTAACACATTCCCTTTTGTCTCCTAACTCTTGGTGCCTCTGGCTGTTTTGCACTATTGTTGCACATTCCGTTCATCTAGTCTTTAAAATCGTAAGATAATTAAACAGCTTAAAGGGACATTAATGGCTATGTAATTCCATAGTTGCTCTGCTAGTACATAGTCTGTCTGCAGTAGATTTCACTAGAGTAGTTGCTTAAAATATAGAATTTTAGGTCCCACTCATACCCACTAAACCAGAATCTCCTGGGATGAGGTGTTTTCATAATCTTCCTAGGAAATTCTCATGCATAGGCCAGTTTGGGAACTAGTGATTTCACTCAAGCCTCGAATTTTTCTTGTGGGAAACGGAAGCTTAGAGGAGTCTGTGGGCACATATCTGGTCAGTGACAGAGCACACCAGGTCTCCTGATGTCCGATCCGCTGCTTCCGCAACTGTAACACAGTTTCTGAGTGGCTGTCTTGGCCGCACACAGGGGGCTTATCTTCCCAATGC